ACATGAAATGCTGCAAGGGTTTTGTCACCAAGGTTTCGAGGGGAGACCAAATTTAATAGCTGATACACCGTTTGGTTTGGCAGTTTTGTCAGATTCCCAGCGGTATTCCATTGATCCCTGTTGGTGAAGGTCTTTCTCATTGTACCATTGTCTCGGTCTCTGCCACCGCGCAGCATTCTACTTGTCAGGATTGAAAATGGCTCTTTGAATGTAACTATGCCCAAGCAACTACTTAATTCATTGAAACTGCTAGTTGTCCATCCACCACTACTTCATCGACGGGAATTTCCGACTTGAGATAATCATCACAAGGCAAAAGTAGCGTTCCAGATATTTGCGATGGTCTCATTACAACTACTGTTGAACAAACCAAACTTTTATTATAAATCACCCAGAGTTGTGAATCAGTAAGTAAATTGGCAATTATTTTTTGCCTCCACATTGACCGCAACATGACCTGAGAATTTCCAAAGAGGACATTTGACGATTAAATTGGTCACTTAATAGGACCAAGGACTAACCCGCATCCATGCAGATTCCTAGCCTATCTGCCTTCTTCTTGATGTGTACCTCGGCTCGGGTCGTCTACATGACTAATCTTGGTCCTGTTAGAAGGAGACTGTCACCAGTCAAGCACTCTGCTCATTGAGTTATGCCTTCACAGCAAAACCACTTGAGGAACTGTCTAAAGTAGTGATCCAGTAATAAAAATGCTAGAAACCTCTGCAAGGTGATGAAGTGTGTGTTTGAAGTAGTAGTAGTAGTGGTGCGTCATCAAAGGCGTCACATTAGCCGTAAAATAAAGTGTCAATCATTTAATGAACTTGTGATTTTCTTAGGGCTTTACAACACACACAAATCTCCATCCGACATTTCAATCTCGTTGATCCAGCGTACAAATTGTGTGATCAAATGTCTGAATTGGAGGAGAGGAATGGCCATCACTCTTCCTCCCCCCTCCCTGATTTGCATTGTTGGGATTGAGACGTGGCATGTCTCAGTGTTACTAATGCAGTGAATGCCACAGCTATTCGGAGTCGCGTGTGCTGAGGTGCCTGTTTGTATAATCTTGTAGGGTGTGAAATTCCGTACTCTTCCACCCACGCATGTTGCCTAAGCATGCTCGGTGTGACTTGCCCTGTGGGGGTGCGTGGGTTTTGAGCTCCTTACTCTTCCTTGCTCCTATTTTTTCTCTTCTGCAACTTTTTGTGGAGGGCGTCTTGAATCTAAAGGTGTGTACTTCGGTCCATGTCGGAGCTCGGGAGACGACAACCGAGTCAATAAGGCCGCCATCTCCTTTGACAGGACTTTTCACATGGTCTTCACTTATGTTGGCCATAACTTTTCTAATAGTTGACGCAATCGGGTCCGTGACATTGTGAACACGCTTATCGAGAGTTATCTCACCAGCACTCCAAGTGTACTTCAGATCGGGAGAACTGGTGGGGTCGTTTGTTAGAGGCGACCCATAACTGGGGCCTTCTAAATTCCAAACTGTGTTACTTTGCGCAGTTTCAGTGGTTGCTAAATCTTCAACCTCTAGATAGCTTGCTTCTGAATCCATCAGTTGAATGTGTTTTCTGTAAAGTCATTTAAACAAAAAATTATGACTTAGATATTTTACCGGTATGTATTTACCTGAAGGATTGAGAAGACAGATTGAGTAAGACTTCCCTACTGCTAGATTGTAAAACGGCTGCGTGGGTATTTCTAGCGGCTTTTGTTCATGTCAATCAAAGCGTAGCCATTAATGAGTCCCTCAAATTGTGAGCCATGCCTGTCGATAACCATCCCAGCGGGCTAGTTGACTCCAATGTTGGAAAGGCGACGTAATCATCAAATCACCTTAGCTATTCCATTTCTAGTGCATTGGAAATGTGATGGATTCAGGCCATGTCATGTTGATTTTCTATCCTACTTGAAACTCGTAGACCACGGTGTTATTCAAAGGCGCGAAGTAAAGAGCCTAGCCACTGGAGGTCAGTGGTACACGTGACACTGACATGGCGCACCGACTCAACGCGTAAATCGCGGGTCTCATTGCTCACTCTCTTAAATGACACTATGAGGTTGAACTAACGCATCTTCGTTTTCTTTTGACCTCGAGGTATCTGCATGCGCAGTTTTCACATCGTTTTCCACACCCCTTAAACCCATTCAAGTGGCATTGCCTCCTGTTTAGGTCTTGGACGAATCAATGTGTGTAATTCGCGAGGACATCTGTGACTGGCTACAACGCTACGTTTTCAGCGAGGCCCATGTTGCACCCCTTGATAACCCCTGCGATCTGCTAGAACGCCTCAAGTCTGGTGTCTGGCTTGCTCGTCTGGCTCACAAACTTCACTTCAAGGTTGAGAGAGAGAGAGAGAGAGACTGCTACAACGATTCTTTACATCGCCTAATCTCTCCACCTCATTTCTCTTATTCTTCTTTTCAATACAGGTCCTAGCTGCCAATCTGCCACGCACTCGCGGGGTCAAGGTCACCTCGAGAGAGCACAAACTCTACGCCAGTCTGCGAGGCACAGGGCCTAGTAACGCTCTAGGCCAACTGACAGCTGAGAACCTACCGGTCTTTTCGCAGCCCTTGAAACACGCAGCAGAGTCGCGCCTCTCCCAGTCCGATGTGGCAACTGGGGATTTCGCTCCCACCCCTCTCGGAAACCCCTTCTGTGATTCTGCTCCTGCTGTCAATGATTTGGGAGTAAGACTGCGGAACCACTGGGCGGCTAGGGGAAATATCTCGGCATTTCTGGAGTGGTGTCATGCTCTGGGTATATCTGAGACGGTCCTATTTGAGACCACTGGACTGGGTGAGTTAAAATGTATTAATTTGAAGGTTTATTCCTATCCTTAGTTCTCCCCAACTTGAGCCCTCATTTGTTAGATAGGATTTGCTCTTCATTTGAAAAACTGTGTGGTGCAAATTTGCCTCGCGAAGATACGTTTTATGTTCATTTCTGGTTCCTCATTTTCAGTGCTTTTAGGCAGCCTTTAAAGCACATCAATCGTATAAACAGTTCTTCTCGATTTTGATTCATTCTAAACTCGTCTCATTCGATTGCTGTCCATTGCGTGGGACCGACAGTTGAGGCATTTACCAGCAGCCCTTCAACCGTCCACAGTGGGCTGTGTTGAGGGTGAATTTATGGGGGAAATGAGTTCAAGAGCTGGTCAATGATCCACTATCCCCACAGCATTATACCACTGTGTTCTTGTATGGGCAGTTCCGGCTCGTGCGAAGACAGTAGTGTTCCACCGCTGTTCATTAAGCCGAACTTGAGATTGAAGTGGTTGGAAAATTGGTACACTTTCCACAACTTTTTGGCTGTGAGCCCTTTCAGATTCGGCTATCCACATCCGCCCTCCCCCTTCTACTCTGTTTTTGCATTAGCAGCAGCCTCCATAAAGCAAGGATTATTCTTTTTTTACAGTGGGTTCACCGACGCTTCAAGATACTCTTATTTCAATGCTTGAGTTCATTTGCCGTAACATCACCCATTCACCTCTAATAGCTTATGCCTAGATTTCCAAGCGTAGGCTAATCCTGCTGTAATTCCATATCTGAGTATAAGTGCCGTGTGAATGGTGTCTTCATTTCGAGCAGCCAGCAGGTAGGTCCTCCTAATCGTTTCTTTTTGCCCACGAGTCTACAAGAAGTGCGCAGTTGTTACGCACCCCGCGTTTATTGTGACTTGTTTCGCCTTCTCCCTGCACCCGGCTGCTTCAAGAGTAATCTGTAGTCGACTTTTCTGATGATTCTTTGTTTCCGTTGGCATTTGCGAGGTGTTGCAGCTCGCTTCATGGTTATTTCTGTGCGTGAAGCTGTCTCACTTGGAGAGTGCTTTATTAAGCAAACAGTAAGGCCTAGAAGGAAGGCTAGTTGGGTTTTGTATGACAAGCGACGGGAGGTGTATAGTAAGGTGGAGTGTTATTTTTATGGCAGCGTTCAATCACAGGTCAGCGCAGCAACTGACCTCAGCCCACTTTAACACTAGATCGGGTCGTTCGCCCGTTCATTCGTTCCGGCTGTACGCTGCCGACCTGTCTGGCTGACTGAGCTCCCTTTTGCCCACCGCCTTGCTACACACGCTCTTAGACATTACGCATGTCCTCCCTATTCTACATCTCATTTCTTCACTTAATTTCCCGTGCTACGCAATTTCCGCCTCTTTTTGGGGGTGTCGTCACTGTGCTTGCCCTTGCGCCCGCCTCCACAAAGAGAGTCGAGTGGTGTGACGTTAATAACAAGGAATGAGGTTGGCATCTGGCGATAGCTGTTGTGAGTTTCGTCTGTTAGCAAGGGAGAGTTGGTGATGATGATGACTGGATGATGTTCTGTTTGTGCGATCATATTCTCCACCAGGTGTAATCATCATCCAACGGCATGGGATCCGATTTTCTCTTCTATTCACGCATACAGTGGGGCTTGGGTTCGTGATCATCATCTTTGTTAAAAATTTCCACCAATTTAGTCTTCTTTTGCATCGAATTTGAAGTAGTGCTAAGTTTCTTTGAAACACAAATCGGCAAGACGCTTAATTTGCTTTTTGATGCCTCACAAACCGATTGCTCTTGGCATGATGGTCTATGAGTAAACCTTCATAGGCTAATGTGTGTGTTTGAAGTGATAATTATTAGCTACTTAGCTCGGCTTTAGTGCCTTGAGGCTTTGATAAAGTCGTGGTAAGGCATACCAATGCGAAAGTATGGTTTATTGCCAGTGTACAGGGGGGTGGAAGGCCATGCAATAAGCTGAAAGTACAAGTTGCGGTGCCCGATGAGCTGGTGTACCTTCCTATCAGTTGAGCTGCTGGGCATTTCCCGCTACACTTCCCGTGATCATTGTCAATTGTGAAATCGCGTCAGAGGGCGAATGCTGCCTATTTACGGAATTTCTAAATATCACGACTTCACCAAAACGGGTCGTATCGACGAGGAATCCGCTTTGAGCGAATTTGGTGCGTCAGGCTTTTCGAAGGTGCATTGAGCTTGTTTTGGATTCATTGAAACGTGATTTCGCTCCATCGCTAACTATTGTGTTAAACTCGGAATTGTAAATTGGCCGCCGCAAGATGACGTTGTAGTCATTCCGAGGTGAGCCTTCGTCGACTCAATCATTTGCAGTATATATTGTCCCTTTGCAACGTTTCGATTTGGAAGGTTGTAGTCATAGGTCTTCCGAGTTCCGCACTGAATTTTCAGTTGCTTAGCTGGTGTATGCCCGGCTGCAAACCCCGAAGCCATTGGTGTTATTCACATCAACTGATCTCTTGACTCCGAATAGCAATTGCCACACCCAACTTACGCTCCGCTTATTCCTCTCATTTAATGTAGATACTTCATGATGGCGAGTGTGTTTTCAAGTGATGAACTTTGCGCTTGTGTGCTCGGTCTAGCTGAAGCCTCATTGAAACACTTACAAACACTTAGCGCGGTGGGGTTTTGTGTACTCCGAGCTAGAAATCATCCCCTTTCGGAAGGTGATGAGGTCGTGAAATTTCAATTTGTCCCTGTGTGATTTGTTTCTCTGACTTAACAACTCATCATTTATCCGCAGCGGCATTTGTTGGGGTCTCAAATGCTCCCTCATTTAGTCAGCAAAACTGCTTTCCAATTGGCTTTTTTTTGCGATCAAACTGTAGTGGAAACTGTTTACTCCAAATGTCTAGAAACTTTTCCGCCTGACTGGGGCTATTGCAAACTTCTCAGGGTCATGAAATTGGATTAGAAGGTCAAGTCATCTGCATCACTTTTCCCTTCTGTCTGATGCGCTGCCACTAGCCGCATCATGGCTTCTTAATTTGACTAGACACTCTGCTCTGTGAAGGCATTCCCTTTACGATCCCCTTTTTTTGTCTCCAGTAAAACTTTCATTGGCATCTAGCAGTATTCCTTGTGCGAATGTACCCCTGGAATTTGATTGAAGCTGACAGCACTTCACATCACTCATCACTGGTATTCTCCCTTAACCTCAAAGCGAAAAAAAGAGCGGTTCTTCTTCTGTGCCTCTCTGAAGGACCAATCTCCTCGCACCTCTCAAGTAGCCAGTTTCCGCGGTTGACTGACTTCCACAATGATTAACTTCAACGTCATGCGTCTTTCTTCACCCTGTAGCTGGAAGTTTTGCACAATTTTAATGTCGCGATTGTTTGCGCCGTTTTATGGCACGAGGAGAGTAGTTCATTACTGTGGTGATGTTACCACAGGTGGTGAAACTGTCACTGTTGGAGTCACAATGGGTCACTAATCACAAGATCCGTCTTATCGTCGCAGTCTCGTCGTAAAAGCCAACCCACTCAGGAGAAACCACTGAAAATTGAGGATTGATTGCTTTACGTCTTTCCCTTCGTTACAACTCTTTGCGGTGCCATTAGCTTTGTGTTCTAAAACTGAAGGCGGATGAATTTATGGCCTTGGATTGAACACCATCGAAATTGACTTGTACTACTTATTTCGCCCATCAGTAGCGCCTTCTTTTTGGTCGAACAAACGCCTATTTTTGACATTTCTTTGCCAAGGAGGGCGAAATCACCTCACTGGGTCTGAATTTCCCTCCAGACATCGAGGATTTATCGTGTCTCGGGTTGTGTAAGCACAATCACTGAACTCTTTTACTCAGGGTGAGTAATACATTCCCGGCATTCACTCCACTACGCCCCCAGAGGAGGTAAAAGTGAGTCTGTTTTTAATATTCTCAAGGACAGATAGGGAGTGAGGTAGGATGTTATGTCATCGATGACTGGTTGTTGCGTTACGCCCTGGTAACCATTGCCACGGTCTCGGCCTTAACACTTGATTATATTTTTTCGCCTTATCTGCACTTGGTACCAGTTGAGTGAGCTTGACCTTTATGTAATGGGGGCAATTTTTAGACAAAAAAAGTGAAAATAAAAAAGGAGTCAGTTGTGCCGGTACCTGATAAAGTACGTACCCTTTTGTGTGTCAGATTGCCTCAATGTAAAGTTTAAGTAGGTTATACCTTCGTCGATAGCATAAATGGAGGCGAATTGTCTGATTGCGTTAGCCTTTTCCTCCATCATCCTCATCTCCACCAGGGGACCTTTGTAGATCACTGCAATGTCTCCTCGGTAAGCATCTGGGAACTTAGCACCTTCATCCCTCTGTACTACTTACCTCGCATTTTTGAACTCCTCCTGCATAAAGAACGCGGCGTTGAACCCTATGAATGTGGCTCAAATCCATCTACCGATCGAGCCTAGGTCACCTCGAGGCTGAAGGTGTAGAAACGCCTCGGCAACTTTGTGGTGCAGGATTTGGAGAAGGCGCAGTGACCTTTAAATGTGTTTGTTAGGACGTGTTATCTTTAGGTGAAATAGGTGGGAATTTGGGTGTTAAGGCCAACTCTCAATGATGTTTGACACGAGTGATGGGGCGATTCCTTTCCATCCGCATCAAGTGGGGAAGTAGAGTCGTTGTGAAAGCTGGCTGAATGAATTCCACGCACATGCACAAACAAATGACAAACAGGAGGCTTTCAGGACTGAGGATTTGTCATTTTTTTAACTTCACACAGTTTACGATAATACACCGGGTGGAAGCAGTATTTGACTGACTGACTTCTATGTGATGGGAAATGCCTTCTGTGGTTCCAAATTATCCACTCAGTGCCCACGTCACACTTCCAAGGCACCACTTGAGCCCAAGTTGACTACACTTGTTTGGTCTCTTTTTGAGTGTATGTGTGGTGTACTCCAGACGCCATTATTCACTTGACTGGTGAACAATCACGTCTGAGACCTGTCTACTCGATACGACGCGTTACAACTGAAGGGTGTGCAAGAAATGCTTTTTGAGAAACAGGCAGGGCTAACGAACTCACAAGGAGAAGGGGCTATATGTCTTGCAACGCAAGGCCCACCACATTAGTCTCCACTGGCTTTTTTTTCACTTGGACCTGCAAAAGTTCTACAACATCGGCTGAATGTCTTTCATACGCGTCCTACTAAGATGCCAAATGGGAAGGGCGGCGTTAGTCCAAATTCCACATTTCTGTGTCCCCTTCCTACTCAATTACTCCACCTGCTGTCACCCAAGGCCTAAAATATGGCGGATGTTGGACACGATTCTGGTGATGATGGTGGAGATGTTTTGACCGTGGGTAGCGCTAATCCTCCTTGCGGTGCAGGGGGTAGTGTCTTTTTTTAGCTCTCCTGGTGACGGAGCAGGAAGTTGCATCACTGATGACAAGCCAGCCGCCACCCTGCACGCTTCAATTCTTATGCCTCATTTCCTCCGCGTAGTCAATTTTTGCTACTGTTGATTGATTTGGTGTGCATCAATTAGGTAGCCATTTCTACCTCTTTGCAGTGAAAGTCGAGTGTCCTTCTTTTACGCTGGTTCATAACAGAGTAAAGTACTGTTAGGTGCTCTCCCTCCCCCCCTTCGGTATGAGTCCATTGCCCTAATCTTTTGATCTTTTTGTGGTCCATATTTCACCCACACAGTCAGGTTTAGTGGCAAATAACCCCCAGTCCTGAATCGGTACATCCTCCAACCAATGGTGTCTGGAGTGAACCAATCACGCTTCGAGTTCCCTTCTTCAAGGTCACAGTCAATTGGTAGCTCCAAAATTTATCGCTCAAATGTTTTTTTTCATTCCCGACCCCTAACTCAGTTAAACCTATTGCCACTCAATACGGATGGTATTTGTTTGAGGTCAATGACAATGCTAACAATAATGATAGACAGTGGTGTTTAAACCACTTTCAACAGTCCCGTCAAACCGCTAATCTCTGACACCCTTGAGTTCCGATTTACGCCTCGACCATCCCTAAGAAAAGATAATTTCAGCCACGATGGAATGGAATTGTCAAGCTATCTAGCTCTGTACCTCCCCACCGCCAGAATGAAATGTTGTTTGAACCACGGCAAGAGGCTTCTGTGCTCAAATTTTGGCGTAGTTTGCAAGATCTCGTTTTATCCGAGTGGCTGGAGGTTCAACAGGTGCAAATTTCATTCACATAAATTCCGATCGGTTTGAAATGAAGGGTTAAACTTTATTTGCGGCAGATGGATCCATCGCCTTAACTTTTAGTTCATCCTCCAGCTCTTGATTGTAGCTTCCTTTTTAGGGACTAAGGGCTTCTATTGGAAGGGGATTTCTCAAGCCATCCACCCCTTTTGAAATGTTCGACTTGCGATTATGCAACATCTGAGCGTCTTGTCCATCGATGTCTTGCAAAGCCTAAATCGTATTTCTGGCTTTCGGTTTCAAATACCACCCACATGAATGTGTTTTTTGTTTAAGAAGCGTTGTGAGTGTAAATGGAACAAAGGCAGAGCTGATTTACTAGGTCCTAGACATGATTGTTGGGCGATTAGTCAGGAGACGCTTTTAATTGCCCCTGAGGAGAGGTGAACAAGGCTTACTAAATGTGGAACTTTTCCATCCATGCTTTTAGTAAACCGAACCGAGGAGAAGAATGTCCTTCTCACCCTGATGGATCTAGCTCGTCTAGCCAGTCGGTTTGGACTGGCAGAATTGCCTGAATTGGTGCGCATGGAGCGCGAGATCGAAGCTCTGGAAGCTGCTGCAGCGGAGGCAGAGTCATCCTCAGTGGGAACCATGGCGGGGGAGCACACCAAAGTGGATGCCAGCGTCTACGCTTCTCATGTGCTCGAGAGGAAACTCAGCATGACTTCAGTTGTCAGTAGCCCTCCTCACTCGCCCGGCTTTGCTTCCGCCTCTCTCTCCTCCCCGTCGTATGAAAACGACTTCTACGATTCCAGCATCTCTTCGACTACCACGGAGCCGGTGATTCGGTACTGCTCTACAAACACGGTTGGCACAACTGCAGCGGAGGTCTTGGTGGATGTTTCAACTGGTGTAGACGAGGAAGAAAGAGAGGACAAGTCGTTGGAAGCAGGACAAACAGATTCTTCCACTCTGGTGGAACGAGTGAGCTCAGATGGCACTTCTACCACTGTCACCAACACCACATTAATATCAGATGCAAGTGAGTTTTGCCTCTTTTTGTTAATAAACTTTCTTCAAAGTAAAGATATTCGATGGCTTATTTTCAAAGCTACTTTTATTGCACGAAATAGAAGCTAACTTTTCGCACTCGTTGTGTTGCTATACCTACTTATAAATTCTTAAGTAGCACATTTTTCGTCAGTTGACGCATCCTGCCAGGCGAAGGCGAACAAATCGACGCGAGGCGTGTCTGCAGGCAAGAAGTCCACAAATAATAATGCAACCACAGTAACCGTCCTCGTTGACGTTGGCGAAAGCGGTGATGCTGCGGACAAATCTATTAGGACAGCCACCTTGCCACCACTCAAGGCCTCACAGACGACACCCAAAGTGAAGCCTCGAGGCGTTAAAAAGACAACCCTACCGAGAGTCAACGTCGGCACCAACAGTCGTGCTGAGATTGTCAAGCGTTCCACATCAGCTGCAGATCTGCGAGAACTAGAGAAATCTCAGGCTAAGCGAAGGAACACGAGGGAGGGTCGTGATGGCGCGACTCAAAGAGGTTTGTGTGCGTATTTTTGTTTTTATTTGTTTCGCTACAATTAAGCGACTAGGGAATCGGAGACACTGTAATTAAGCTTGACTCTACATTTTATTTCAAATTTTGCCTCTGATGCTGCCGTGTGTTATTAGTTTTCGGATTTGAGCATAACAAAAGTGCTCGATTTGTTTGCTCTAATCAGAGCTCATTTAAGTGATTTATCTTTCAAATAATTGCGATGTTAGCAGCAACCGCAGACTGGCAAGTATTACGACGGAGTGGCTGCTTCACTCTCCGTGTCTCCTGACAATGAGGGGAAGGGGAAGGCCGGGGGGCAGGTTGTCGGGCCATCAACTTGGTATTTTCAAAATCAGCAAAGACAAAGTAGACGCGGTGCATTCTCTGTCGTCTGGATGGAGGTGGAAAACTTATCTACGACCAGACATCTTTTTCTTTAGCTCTTGGGCTGGTAAAAAAACATTAGTCAGTCGATTGTTTTGGGACTCCACAACCTTGGGTTCTTTATTCGTTTATTCTGGCGAATTGGGCCGAACGGCATGATTGATTGTGCCACCTCCACTTGAAGCGTCTCGTAGCTCGACAGATTTGTGCCAGCACAGAATGTAATCCATTTCCTTTCAGTTGTACATTCCGCCAAATTAGTCGGTCTCAATTTCTTTCCCATTTGTCGTCTGTGTAAATCATTTATTTTGCTTTTTATCTCCGCGTCTTCTACCGCGGAGATAGGATTTTTCCCACCGATTTTATGTTAAACGCGTCTTTTCCGTGCGGTGCGCTACTCCACGGGGCTTTTTCTCGACTTGTGATAACTTAAATTGGTGGGATAGGCTTGACAGCATGGCAAAAAACGTGCTGTTGGCTGTCGGTAAGAATTTACAGGAGACTTACTTTTAACCAGTTCGACCGTGGGATACGCGACTTCCAAACGCTTTACGGGGGGACTAAGAGGCAGCTACACGCCATCTCCCAACCGTTCCGTTCTAAGACCGGGGCTTTACCAGGGTAAAGGAAATACGATGTTGGCAGGCACAATTCGCTATTGAATATGCTGAAGTGATTTCAACGAAATTGCTCGACTGCCGAGTTGATGCTTCCCTGATTAGCAAGACGGAAGAGGCGCTGCGTCGCGTTTCATTCGATTTTACCCCAAAAACTGATTCGCTCTTTGGGTGGGCTGGGCATTCATCACGAGACCGCTGTGCCGCCTTTGGTGATTTGGCTCTTGCAAAATTGGCGAATGCGGAAAGTTGACAGGCCTGGGAATGGCGTTTAAATTCACTCGTAGGCTTTCAAGTCGCCCGGTTGCAATGACTCAACTGCATTTTGCACCCGCATTTTTTTAAACCTTCCTTCCAGCTTGTTCTTTGGAAGGTCAACAAATGCCCATCCAACTGGCTTTGTTGAGCACTCTGCTTGTATGCGTTTTGGAGGAGCCGTTTTTTAACATTCAAGACGTATTTTTCACCTCCGTGCTGGTGACACGGTCGTCCAGTTCTTCCACAAGTTTCAGCGGAATGTGCTTGATATCTTTTATCGCCCCTATGGAGGGGATTCCACCTGGGTCTAGATTGATCGACCTGCTGCCACAGGAGGATGGTGCCTCATGTGGAGGTCTAATTCTATGGAGACTTGCAATAGATGGATCGAGAAATTGCCATTAATAGTATGTCTATTAGTCCAGACATTGGTTTTAAAATTCTAGAAAAAGCGTCGCAAAGACATCCACTAAGAAGGCTGAATATTAGTGACCAGTCTCCTATTTTGACCGGTGCATCGTCACGGGCCAGCTTAACAATGGGGTACTTGACAGATGACAGGCAAGGTTTGTGCGGCCTCTTCAGTCTACCGCTAGTCGACCTTCAAGATAGTGAAATACAGCTCCATTCACCTTTCCGAACCGCTTTTTCAGATGTGGTGAAGTCTGGTTAATTGCTTGTTTCAAAAACCTCCCTTTCAGGACGTCCAGTGAAATCGCAGGGTGTGACCAAATCCACGGCCACTGCTAATAAAGCAGCCTCAGCCGGTCAGCAGCCGCGATCCTGCAGCCAGGTGCGAACCCCACTGGCGGATCGGAATCAGGTGGGCCAGACGAGGACGAATTCTCAACTACCGCATTCGGCCTCCTCCTCGTCCAAACTCTCCTCCGGTTTTGCCAGTCGTTCCTCCTCGTGCTCGGATGTTGCGGCCGAGGTGAGTTGCCCCCTGTTATGAGACAAAAATGACCTTTCATAGTTCAGAATTGGGATTTATTTTGCTCATAACCACCTCCTGGTTTTTGTTTCTTTTTTTTTTCGTGCATCCTTTGGCTTTACAGGTACCTCTTCTGGTGCCACCTGAATTGGTTGGATTTGAGTATCCGGGTTGGGTGTCATTGAGTTGGCATTACTTTCGCTAAGCGCCTTTGAAGTATATTTGACAGTCCTGCGCCCAGTTTCAATCGGAAGAAGTGGTTTTCATTGTTCACCAATTGGAAGTGGTAAGGGGGGTCTGGCACTTATCCCAAGGCGTCGTCATTCGCTTAGGCGGACCTCTGTCCACCCCATTCCTTCCAGACCCATGCCATTGTCGAATGGTAGAGAAGGAGGAAGGGGATAAAGATGATGGGTCAAATAGGTCAAGGCGACTTCCTTCCATTTGTTACCATTGCATCTCGTAAGGTCAGTCGACTACTGGTAGACACACCAGCTGCTTCCAGATCGTCATCAACACCCACCATTCTGCCATCAGCTTTGAGACTTTTCCAACCACCCATGCTAACGAATCTGCTTTTGGGGGGGTAAAGTTGACAGATTTCCTGTCGCTATTCCTGCGAGTTAGCAGCCAGCAGGTCGACAAACGAAACTCCTCTGTTGCATCCGAGCGCTAACTTGACTGAGCGGAGGCTCGCCAACACCCTTAGAACATTGTCACATATTTGTGACGTCCCTTTCCCCATATTTTATCTGTTTTTACAGATCACTTTGAAACAAACAATTACTTGAAGTCGCACTCGCAATCTGTTCCAAATTATCTTGATCACTCTCGAAGCCGTTGGTATTTAATGCTTTTACCTGTTTAAAAACTTGATGTGACTAAATTGACTCTGGATTGTCCTCTCGGGGGCTATTTTATGACCCAGATGTCATTTTTCGCTTCCTTTTCCGTCCTGGTCAAAAACAGTCCAGGCCGTCAGTGTGGGGTGATCTGAAAGTGGCCAAAATCTGGCCTTTAGTACAACTGTCCTCGTCGCCGTTGCCCCAATTTAGCAACCTCGGTGAGAGCCACGACATCTGCTCTGCGGCGGGACATTTGGTAAGCATGAAGAATCGCGCGAGCGGAACTTTTGAAATTAATGTGCGTTTAATACTGCAAAAAAAAATTATTTTTAATCCCTGGCGTTCAACAAGGAACCACTTTGGTTCGGCTTGTTGGCTTGTTTTGACAATGGGTTAGTTCTCCAGACGGTACAATAAGGTGGAATGAATGTGCTTTTCCCCTTTTAAAAGTCTTATCGGTGCTTTGAGTGGAGACGCCTACAGCACCGTTTACTCTGGTTAATACCTTGGAAATTGCCCCAAGATCGCTACAATTAGTGCTTTGATTTTCTTAACCCCATTTGTTTCAGTCGGAGTTAGGTGCTGTCTCAAGGCCATGAAATGGGGATTGTGTGTTTACATCAGGCGTGGTTGGAGATGATAAATGCCCAGTTGATGTCTCGGTCGGCGAGAATGCCCCTTGTTCCGATTTTGCCATTCCGTCTGGGCGACGGAGGGGAGGGGGAGGGGAGAAGGAACTGAGGGGTTGTTCGTCACCTCTGAAATGCTGATACTTTGGCTGGCTCTCCTGTCCAATTTACTATCAGCATGGCCAAATCCGCATGTCGCAAATGCGTGACATGTGATCTTGTCCAGTTGATGATGGCCCGTTACAATAAATCGTGGTTGAGTTGGAGACAACGACCGGCTCATCACTTTTGAAGCGCTCGGGTGGAAGCTGAATTGACCAGTTCGATGGTGCAAGTGCCGTTGGTGCCATTTTGGCGCAATGGGACGTCTGAGGTGACGGCTTCATTTTGACGATTCGCATCACTTTCAACCGAACTAACGAATGCACATTTCTTCTCTTCTTTAAATTCCAGACGTCTCAAGGACTCGCTTTATCCACTTATTGTCTTTTGTCATTGAGGTGGGAGATGTCTGCATACCCACTAAAGTTGAGCCCACTTAACTACTTTCTCACTGCCCCTTTTCCCTAATCCCTCTTCCCTATCACCATCAAAACAACGACCACGAATCCATTTCCCTCCTTCCTTCCTTCCCTCGAAAAGGGAGGCAGTCGCCCTCTCGTGTGAACCAGTCGCTCGACACTAATGCTGCCGCTGTTTTTGTTTCTCTGTGGCCTTTATGCACTCTCTCCTCAAGAATCTGCGGGTGTTGACGACCCCCCACTCAGTCAAGTTAGCCCTCCGATGCGGCAGAGGAGTTTTGTTTGTTGACCCGCTGGCTGTTAAATGACTCTTAAGCGCGCTCTTTTTTTCTGTCGTAGGAATGGCGACAGAAAATTGCGACAATTTTACGCCCTTCAAATTGAGTCCTCTGGCATAAGTGGTTTGAAAAGTCTTCTAGCTGATGGCAGACTAATGTGTGCAGCTGGTGCGCCTACTCGTAGTGGATTGACTTTACGGGATGTAATGGTAACAAATGAAAAGGAGTTGCCTTTCCCTTTTGCTCCATCATCTTTTCTCCCTCTCCCTTCTCTACCACTCAGTGGTAGGCGTCAAAATGACAACGTCTCCCTCGACTTTGCAAGGCGATCTTGTAGAACCCCGTTGATATTGAGACCAGATAATCCTCCTGAGGTGACTCTATTTCACCATCTCAGCCTAAAAGCGGTGGGAACGGTGGTCAAAATGGTCTTTAAGGCGTCGTGTGGCTCTGCGATTCCTTCTGGCTGTGCCTCGTTTTTAAGGAGGAATTTCGGTACGCATGGATGCTGGTGGCAAAACTGGGTAGAGAGTGCAATTCCCCTAGTAAGCGTAAGACCCTGCCCCATTCCACGGGTGGGCTGCTCTCTCTCAGACCGCAGATATACTGCACTGAGCTTTGTCAATCCCGATGACCACCCAGTGAATTTCAAATGCTCTTTAGCTTCTTTTCTCCTGCTCAAGAAGGCCATTTTGAGGAATGGAAAAACAGCTGGTATTTTTGCACGAGTCTCGTGGACGTTGTCCTATCAAAGGGGATGCTCTAATCTCAGTGGCATCGAAGGTTTTCATTTCAATACACCCAGATGATTTGCTCGATGTAGAACTACCTCGGTCACTCGGATCATCTGCGATCTCAGCCGAATTACATCCACTCCAAATGGGCTGAGAGGGGGGCACCACAAAGGTAGGTTGAACCTTACTCCTGGCTCTGTGGAATTTAGAGCAGGTGATGCTGAGGTGACCAGTCCTCCTGGCTGCCCGACTTTGAATCAGAGTACTCGTTCGTGGGAGTGGTTTAAGGATGAGAACATTCATCTGTTGAATGATGAATCAGCTTCAACATCCTTCTATCATGCAGGCTCATCGAGGATTCGCTGTAACCAGGGTACTGCACCAATACTGTATTGCAAACAGCTCAAAGCCCTAGTACATCACTAGCCAATGGTTTAAGATGGAGTTCCGTAACCCCTACCATAGTCTTGGCGCTGACAGGTGGCAAGGCGTACAGTCAACTAGTAGCACAGGCGGGTGCTGGTTCTGTGGTGCCTCTTCCTTGAGGCCTGCCAAAACCCAGTGCTAATTCAATATTTTCCATACCTATTGTCGAATGCACTCTAATCGGTTCATCTCACTGGAAGGTGCGGTACAGAGGCACAATTTGGATGGCCGTCTGCTCACACCATGAGTAGGAAACGAGGATGATCAGGTATCTCGGTGAGCTCTCGCCACCTATGACTGCCCCAGTCTCGTTGTAGTTCGTTGCGATGACTCCTTTTGACTGGTAGGAGGGACTTGTCAAGTCCGTGTGATTGTTTGCGTGCCTTGTAGAGCATGGAAATGGATCAACTTCTCGACTGTGCTCTCTCCCAAAACTTGATGCAATCCAAGCGTATCTTCATGGAAAACTTACCTTTTTGCATGGTTTGAATAAATAACTTGGTCTAGGCGAAGAATTGCTCAAAGGTGGGTGGATCACGCTCTCGAAGGCCCTCTCTTCTCCCGATCATGGGGACTGGAGAATCACGTGTTCCTGTTGTTGAGAAAAATCAGGTAGTGCGCGTGATGAACCAGCTTGTTTACACCGCCATCAGCCGGGGGGAGGGAGTGGGGATCGGGTGGCTTCTTTCATGTCTGTTATAAAGAAGTGCCATTTTTAGCTTGTTTACTGACTGACTGAACTTTAAGTGAAAAAAAAAAAGACTTCCGAATTTCCATGCCTCTTGAACAACAATACATGGAGCTGCCTCTCCCAGACTATGCTCTCACACGTCTCAGACGCACACCAGACAACTGTGCCTGTTTTGGGTGAGTGGATGTGGGAGTGGCTGTGCTGTGAAGGTAGGTTCTCACTTTTTGAAGGTCAAATAATTGCGTCAGAGGACCGCCTACCAACTCAAAGCTTTGTAAGGGAAACTTCTTCGTAAGAATCGGGAGGTGAAAAGAGTTAGTCTTGCGATGCAACACAATCCAAGGCCTTCTATTGTAGAACCTACCGATTGGACGAGGCCATACTGGACAATGCCTCGTTCAGCTGATGGAAGGTCGTTCTACATTAAGTGGTTTCCTTGATAAGTTAGGAACTTTCATCCCGGTTGACGAATTTATTCTAGGACTTGGTCCACCTGAGAAGGAGCTCAAATTAAATTTAGTGGCAGCCTTTCTTGTTTCACGTAATCGCTTGTTTACGCAACATCTTCCTTGGTTGGGACAGTCTTACTGGCTACTCCTGCCTCCACACCCGTATTGTGGACATCTTTGAGTGTGGCTAATGTTGCAAATCGCCCAATCCAAGGCGTTGCTGTTCCGTGAGTAAGTCAGCATCCACACGCCTGAGAGCATCGTCAAAGAGCCGGTGAGCTGTGCGGCACTAGCTGCACGGATGGCGTGCGCAGGACTCCATATCGCCGCTATGGAAGCCATTTGGCAAGAATTTGAAGGAAAAATATACATATCCTGATATTCTTCTCTCCTTTTTTCTCTCGTCTCCACCGCTCTGCGTGTTTGCTCTTCTATTCTGGTCAACTGCAGAGCTGGGGGGTAGACAATACGTTGAATTGGCAGATAGGGAGAATATTGCCTATTTCAGCGGCGTCGGAGATGGATGGTATTCCATGGCGAGCATATTCCACATACCAATTTTTCTTTTCGTTAAAACGTGTCTAAACATGCTTCGAGGGAGGGGTGAATCGTGACCTCGAACACAGAGGTGGTCAAATTGTGGGAGACCTGAGAGGCCCGCGTGACGATAGGCATCAATCTTTTCTCTCTCCTAGGTTCGGAGGCAAACAGCCCACTGCACTTGCTGTGCCCGAAACCGGCTGATTCGTCTAGACGAGGGTCGTTACCAGATGGGATCGCGGATCTACTATCTGCGCCGATTCCACTCTCACGTGATGGTGCGTGTAGGAGGCGGATGGCTAACCCTCAACCAGTTCCTCGATCGCTACGATCCCTGCCGGCAGAAGGAGGGTAAACTGCAAAGTATCACCTCCTCCAGTTTCAACGTCAATGGGGAGGCAAGACCCATGATTCTAGTTCCCGCCTCCAATATCTTGGAGGAATGGCCGTCGAAGGAGGTGCTGAAGACGAATTCTCGGTGATTGTGCGGTTACAATTTCACTCTCTCTCTCCCTTTCGCTCCGTCTGTGATAATGACGCTCCTGCACATGAGCCTCTATTTCACTTAAACACCCTCAGGATTTGCAAATTTTACATGTTTGTCTGTGAACACGTGTGTGTGTGTGTGTGTGTACGTGTGGATTCTTGATTATCTTGACAATAAAGATGAGATTTGAATTGCGCATAGAGTCGTTAGGCTCTCACGACTTTTGATCCTCTTTTCCCTCGCCGTAGTCCACACCTCAGTGGAGAAGAGAAGTTGGAATTGATGCGCTCTTCCCGGCTTCGACAGGGGAAGATATTTGTCATCAAGGCAACCATTTGAGGGTGGAACGTTTCACCTCGTCATCCGTCAAGAGTTAAATCGCCAAATGTGTTCACATTACCGTCTAAAAATCAATCTGAGATTTCAGGGTAGGTGCTGCATTGACTGGGCATCAAAGGTCAGACGTTCCACGCTCTAAGTGATCATAGAAATGGTTGCTATGTTAAGAACCGGGGGTGGGATTGGTCAGTGCTGACGTACATGCGGACGTCTTCGGGGCCTGACGCCATCCAGGCATCAGCCGTTTCAACCTCCCACTCCCATCACTAGTAGATGGCCCTGCGGGTTTGAGTTTTGCGCGCCCGGTGAATGCAGGAACTGTCAGGCGCCAGCCCTCGTGATTAAGGGTGTCCGCGCGGCATGTGACATCTACCGCGAATGTGTAAAAGTCCTTATGTGGATTACGAAAGTTTTTCCTGGAATAAAGATGAAATTATGACAACTTAGGGGTGAAAATGAATTCTCCATTTTTGATTGGTTTAAAAGTAGTTTATTTGGTATAAAAATATGTTAAAAAAGTGGAAATTTGCTTTAAATTGAAACCGATTTGACCCGCTAGAGTACCCACTCACAAATGATTGACTTTGAGGCATTTCATGGGAAGCTGAGAAAGCCGCAGCAATGGGGCGTCTTCTCTGCGTGGTAACTCGTCACTCCCTCCCTGACACCTTCCACTGAGTGACAGCAAAGAAATTTAAAAGCGCAACCGCCGCCTTCCAAAAGTGCCTGCTTTGAGGGAAACACCCTCTCAAGCAAGACATAACTGGTCTTTTGGGAGAAATCTTTCGTAGGGCATGGTGCCTTTAGTTATGGAGCTATCTAGACTAATGGAGGACATAGTTTGATGTCCTTATATGGAAAAAAAATTGTGGAACACGTCACTAGAGGTGAAATCATTCAAGCAGCACATAGTAAGAGAACGAAAGAGAAAAAACCGTCAAGCAGCACCCGACGCAACAGGGGTGGAATCGGTGGGCAAAGGTGGAAGTAACAGCTTCGAACTCTTTTATGGTGCTGAAGCCCCAATATTTGACCTTACTTACTCCTGTTTGAGGTGGAAAGGAACCAAATTCGATGTAGAAGACGCCATTTTGGGATTTTGGAGTAGTCTGTCTACTCCTCTACGCCTGTTTTAACCACACAAGAATTTCAGCTGATGCCGCCAATGCCTAGGGGTGACGCACTTCGCTGCAATAGTGTGGAAGCGTTTTCTTTAACATAAATGTCCTTTTTGTAAGGTTAAGTGGTCACATAAGGACGTTCAAGTAAAGCCGGCACTATTTGTCCGTATATAGGCATGAGTGGATGCTACTGCTGTAGCACTCCGAGCCCTCTCTGAAGTCGTAGGAAACCATAGAACTGTGACAGAAGATATGTTACTGACCTACAGAAGATCTGACGCTTCTGCCATGGCCCGAAGGCCATGCGACTTAGCAAAAGTACAGTCTGCGGAAGCCTAGTTGCCCACGTAGCCGACAGTAGAGTTAAGCAAACCGTTGAAACGTTGCAAACACAACATAAGACTGCAGATTCACCTTCTTTCGAATACTACTCGAACCCGACTTGTGTCCGCGGTAGACTGTACGCCCGTTACTGTATGGTGATGACGTTTGAATGGTACCAACGTGTCACAGGCACTTATATGCCCGTCTGTCCCAACTAAGCTAGGTTTCAATGCTTGCAGCATTCCGGTGAACATCCAACTTTCTTCTAGTTAACGACAAAATTCCTCAAGCAATAAAGTTGTCTTTGAAGGCAGTGTTCTGACAACTTATCAGGTAGCTACAGAATCGGAAGAAGCATCAAAGCAGGAGAGGCGTGCTGATTAACCAGGCGCTACATTTCAGAAGCCATGACAAGATGAAACACGCTAACGGATGTATCCATGCCAAGATATTTTAGATTTTGGCTCGACAAAGACAAAATAATCACGATCCTCACTCTTTAAGGATACCTCATTTCCTTTACAAATTTGGCAGTCCCATTTTGATTTGAAAACCTTCACTGCATTGGTTGTTAGTTTAACCCTGCCTTCTGATTATGCGGGGACTTAGGGCTCCGCGATTATGCCTCCGCTTGCCGGCATTGCCTCCGGGTCGCCTCCGTACTTCAAGGCCTTCTATCACCTTCAAGGAGGACTCGGGAAGTTACAGTATAACAAAGCTGCTGTCGAACAGTGTATATTTCAAACCACTTACCATTACGATTTCCTTCTTATTTTCTTCTGTAGTCTTAATACTTTAGTGATTACATAAACAAATTCAATTATCGAGGGTTTATGGTCACTCACAATAAGTCCAGGTGGCATTGAAGTGTCCAATAAGCACCTTCCATTTGGATCCACTTTATAGCTCTTTAGGACCCTCAAAAGTATGGACAGAGAAATTTTGTTGGGGTCTCAGGGACAATCCGATCTCTTAACAATGCAATCCTTAAATAATTCTGCTTACCGAGCTTTCTCCTTCAAATGCCTCACAAAGAAGCTTAAAATATACTTAAAGCAGAACTTTTTAAATTGTAACGTCTCTACCCTTAAATGACCGCTATTATTAGCTAAAAATGGATAATTTTTTTTAAGTTCAATGTTTCGCTTAAACGTCTCTCAAAGAGTTCACTCCACTTAGACACACGGGGAAAGCTGGAGGCGGTGGGGCGGGTGAGGGGGGGGAGAGAAATACTTAAACCTTCTCCCAATATTTTTTTTAACGCTTATCCCATCTCAAAACGGGAGTTGAGATATGTGCGCGGAAGAGAGATGCGTTTGGCAGATGGGTGGAAAATATAGAGATTGCGTGGGTGTGCATTGATCGAGGCAGTTTACTCTGACATAAAAATTCCTTATCTTCCGCTGGAAATATGTTCCACCAAAAGTCCAACTTGCGATGGGATAAATGACATGGCCGCCTTCGATGCGCGCTACGAGATGAATGTGAGTCTGGCCGGCTCAAGGTTTGTCACCAGCTAGAGTGCCAACATACTTCTTAAAATCTACGAGGATAAAATTGCCTGCGCGAATACTGTTCCGTGACAGCGCAATGTCAACGTCATAATAACCGAACTGTTGCAATGATGTGTTTGGCACGACAGTAGATCTCCCCACCCCCCATGGTTACCAGATTTTCATGATACGCTTTTAGAAATGAGAATTTATCTCTCTTCCTAACTAGAGCATCCTCGTTCAGTGATTTTTATTTCTCTTTCTAACTACTCACTGTAATGAAAAAAATTCAGCGGAAAAATTCCGACTGGGGAAACTTTTTGTTTGACTCGAAAGTGGTAGGTAAAGGTAGTTTTTCTGATGGACGGAAAAAACCACTTTCAGAGGTGTTTTTCTTCACGGAGAGTGGATTCCAGGCCCTCGTTAGGTTTACATTAACAAAAAAATCTCATACTGTCGCGCTTTGCAACAGTCTCAGGAGGGACGTAAAAGGAGCCAACTCAAACGGTCAGCGAGCCTTGGTTTATTGTTCGGAAGCCACGTCAAAACGCTGCCAAAGGATAGCAGCGCCCTATGCATGACTCGACCTTAGAAGGGGGGTGGGGGCGGAAGAGGCGTGGACGTCCCTTGTTGACTTTGCAGGGTAAATCTTGCATTCACAAAATTTTCCTCCTGAATAGCCGTTTAGCGGACAGAAAATATTCCAAAGAGCTGAGAACAACTCCGTAAAAGTACACTTGACTGTACTTCATCAGAAATGAGGAATGACATAAAAGCTTCAAGCAACGTCCTCTTTATGTGCACTTAAACAACGCCATGGAGGGTTGATGTAGGCAATGCCAAAGAACGAAAAAATGACATCTTCAAATTGACATGGGTTCACTTTCCCGTGGGGTTTGTTGGGTGAAGAATGTTTACCCCTCTTGCCAAAACAAAGGCATTGCCTCTAGGAAAAAGAGATATCATAAATGGTGAGGAATCGAAAACCCATTTGTTAATTTAAAAATAAAGGTAAAATTAGCGTCAAGAAAGGTCATGACTAAGAAAGTTTTTTATGGGAATTTCCCATTAAGCGGATGTAATGCTTTGTTATAGGGAGTAGGTTATAAAATGTCAGTCATCCTCCACGGAGCCCTACTCTAATCTCTACTAACATAAATTATTGCCTAGACGAGCGTCAATTCTCTCCCGTTGTGGAGCATGAAGGGAAGGTGTGGCAGCATAACCACACACCACCAACACCACAGCTGGTTTTGTAGATAAATTAATCAAGGATAGGGATGCATCACGTTTAGGGAGTCGTCTGCTCCCGTCTATACAATATGGTGATTAAAAGAATCGAAGATAAACAATAAAGGAAGAGAGAACTTACATTATTGCTGAACCCGCATGATAAATCACGTTGTTTACAGCTACCTTAACTGGGAGAGGAAGAGTCGTAGGAGGGAGTAGGAGACCGATACGTCTCACCCACGCGGGTTAGCAGATGGCAATAAGTCGCGGAGGCTGTCAATTGGGTTGGTATCTCCTCACGTCACGCATTAGGAATCGTTTGATAGCTGTCATACCAAGCTGAATTGGTTCTGGTGAATCGCTGCTTCAAGCTAAAGACAGATATATCACGCTGGGGATGTATCGCTACCAATCAAAACAGGTGGAGATGAATGATGAAAGACAAAAAACCTTAGTGATGAATTAATTTGTTTACACCCACACCAAGGAGGGGGAGGGGTGGGGAGGCGAAGTCGCGGTGAAAGCTAAGCAATTAGGTCCCGCCCACATGCATTAGCAGATAACAATAAGCTTTTTTTTTGTTCCTTATCTCGCGACCTCTCGTCAATGAAACCCGTCATGCGATTTGGATTGTCCACTACGTGATAGACCGACCCATTAATTTGGGAGGAGAGATGATTTCGGAATTTCACCCTTCGTAGGCGTATACCACAGAAGCCGTCTTCCCAAGGAAGAGCCAGGAGTGGTGATCCAGGTGACCACAAAGCATAACCTCGTGTAGCAAACTTCACGCCTACAAACTAAAGCACCTCCTATATGGTTTGATGGTGACCACTGTGACTGTTCATTTTATCCAAAGTAACGAAATAAGTTTATAAAAAGTTTTTAATTAAAACCACATTAAACAGAAATTGTACCGGCTAATCTCAATGAGTCACAGGCTTGTAATTCTTTCTTTTATCTAACGCCCTACCGCAAGAACTAAAAATCCATCACTTCAGCCACCTCTGTCTGCTTTATATACAATTGAGGGGTGCAAAGAGGTGATAAACACTTGGGAAATTATGGAGGGCATAGGGAGGGCCGATAGAGGAGCTTTCTTCTTCTGTCCCCTCTCTCGTTTGCCCCCTTCTTCCCTACTTACTCTCTAGGGCGGTATGTGGTCCTTTGCCAATGGAATGCCATTGCTTCACTTGTTCTTCAAGTTGTACCTCACCGAGTAAGTGGACCTTAGACGTAATTGTTTGAGTTTCTTGGAAAAAAGTGCATAATAAACATCCGTACACACATTCCTCAGGTTTGTGCGCTGGTAGGCGAATTAATTGAAGGTAAGCAGTTTTGTGTGTTTGTTTGGATGGGGCGACTTCCCTTCACAAGTCGGTCCACCAGCAAACAATTCAGAATGCTTGACCCGTTTCAATGGCATGACATGAGGAGATGCTTACCAAATTGATAGTCTCCGCGACTTTTTTGCCATCTGTTAATCCGCGTGGGTGGGACGTATTGGTTTAGCTCCCTCCTACGACTCTTCACCCACCCCAGTTTGAGTAGTTGTAAATAATGTGTTTTATCATGCACATTCAGCAATAATAAAAGTTCTTTCTTCTTTTATCGTTTATCTCCGGCGATTTCAATCATCTTTCCGTGTAATCAGAAGAGAAGGTCCCTCATGCACCTAATACAATCCTATCCTGCAGCAGTTTATCACCAGAATCAGTTTCGGGTGGTGGTTAATTGCTCTCCACTTTTGTGTTCCGCAAA